TCCGCATCCACCCGCGCATTACCCGACGCACCCACCGACTGACTTCCCGCGCTAGTTTGCCCTTAGGCAGCACTACCTAAGATTTCTGCGCCGCAATAATTTTGACATCTTTACGCCATCTATCGTCTATTCTATGAACCTGAGACTAGCATACAAGACGCCACCTATGTGTAGCTTCATCAGGTGCTGCCATCTATACGTTAATGTTTTACATTGCCACCGGCCCTCACGAACACACGTTTTGGCCCGGGCGTGCCGAGCATTTTCGTACCTTAACGTTTCGCTGCACACCTATGTCAAAGCACCATAATTTTACGATCAGCAGATGGCGGCATCAGCGTTTACACAACAGGTGCTGCTCAGCGTAAACTATGCGCCCAGAAATCTATGCGATCAAAATATTCGGACAAAATCGGACCAAAATCGACTTCAAAAACAAAACGCAGAGCCCATAACTGATGAGCGTGCCAGAACAGTCGGTGTCAAGAAATACAATGGTCCCTGGAAAATACAACAGGGTTCACAGGCAGCAAGAGCCACTACCAGAGCTCTGTAGAGTGTTCACAATACATCAGGCATACATACTTGACTTCATAACGGCAAATGGTCGGTGAAAAATCATTTACAAAAAAACGACCAGCATTACCAACCACGCGAATGTCAGAGCACCCTCGGTGCAGCGAAAGACCTATTCCACGAAGGAGGAAACTAAGAACAGTCGCTACAGTTCCACTGCCGCATTTAAGTGGTAGCCAGCGACAAAAACTTCAGTGCCCGACTTTCATTCAACATGGCATACATCCTCACATAATAGGTTGGGCCGTGTGTCTTGGTTTTGAGCTTATACTTATTACCTGTGCTTCTGTAAGCCTTTATGTGATCGTAAATGACAATTCCATTCCCATGTCCTTGCACTTAAAAGTTATTTATCTGTGTGTGCCCACTTTGAGGTTGGCACACATGTTTGTTTCAAATAACCACACTTTTCGGTTCAGCTTTCGAATTCGTGCACATTTTAGTGTCTGACGTCACGGCGTTATAACGAGGCAAATTTATCGGGCGTTGTGACAAACCGAGGACCTGAAAAGTCAGCTCCACCGAAATACGCTGGTAGCACAACGGCTCCACGGCGTACTGACCTACACTATGTATCTATATATCTACTAACCCGTAGGGTTCATATGGTGACCCTCGGCCTGATTCACCGTTCTCCATAACGCAGATTGATGGGGCCGGGCGGGGGGGGGGGGGGGGAGCGGGCGACTCCCTGCCGTTTACAAACTAAGAAAAATGGAGATGTTAGCGAAAAACGCCAGTGGATTGGTTTCAACAAGATTTTGCTATTGGAAACAAAATATATCTTGTTATGTCACTAATCGACCGCATTCTGCCAGGCCCAAGGTGAAATTTTCCCGTAAATCGCACTTCTTCAGGTTTGCAGCCTGATACATGAGAGACGTTTCGTCATAGCAACGCAACACCTAAACAGGCGTGTTCCTTGTTGAATTCGGAGTACAACGGTGTACATTTTAAGTGTTTTGAGCATCTCTTTATGATATACGGCTCCGTTAATGTAACAATGTCGGCCCGCCACGCACGTTCCGCGGTATCGTCGGTTGCGACCCGCCGCACGCGCCGGCTGAAGAGCGCCGCGCCCTGCTCCTCACAAACGGCCGCTGCGCTGAAACCAGAAATCCCAGAGACACGTTTGAAGCGTCAAAAAGCGCGCCATGGATGCCTCAGGGCTACCGCAAATTTGAGCGCGATTGCAAGGTATGCCGGAGGGGTATCCTCAAGAAATATTTGGGGGTGTCCCGTTGATCCCTGCCTTTCAGGGCGAGAAGGCCTGCTTTTCACAGAGCTCTGAACCGCTGAAACCAATTCCTATGAACCCGGCACGAGACGAAAGATTGCATGATGGTCTCGAGCCGATCCATCTCGAGGAGCCAACTCTCACGTCGTACCAGGCGGGTTTTCGTGCATGGTACTTCGTAAATTATCCGACTTACGAGAATGGACCACTGGTCTCCATAGCTATATCAGCAACATGCCAGATGCGGAATGAAAGGGTTGCGCGTTCGAAGCCGAGCTTGTTGAAACTTTTCCACCAGTTCGCTATGGAATATGCTACATTTGCTTACAACCACCACATGCTTGCAGTGTGCCGTGCCGTGCCGTGCCGTGCCGTGCCGTGCCGTGCCGTGCCGTGCCGTGCCGTGCCGTGCCGTGCCGTGCCGTGCCGTGCCGTGCCGTGCCGTACTGTTCTAGCATAGCATCCTTAAACACTAGAGTAATACCAGACCAGAATTTAGTATAAAGTAGAAATACATCGCACATCACGGCTGCCAAACATTTCGCATAAGCTAGAAAGTTGGCCTCCATTGCACATTTAGTGTGTTCTTTGTTCTGTACTGTATTTTTGCAATGAAATTCGTTCCGCCCAACATCTATTACCGTACCAAAAAATTGCCGCTTGACTGAAATTCGAGCAAATACAAATGGAAAGACATTTCCAGACTCTGGACTCCGACCAACATTTACAAAATTATTTTTGCACTGCCTCCTTAAACCATAACGGCAGGCTGTGCTCATCGTCTTGGCTGGTTGTTTATCAATACCGGAAATACAGCAGGGCCTTCTCAAGCCTGAGGTTCTGAATTATCTACATGCCCCAGCAAACATTTTTGATTCAAAACTCCACACCCAGCAGTCGCTATATTTATATACACCATCTCGGTGTTAATGTTCGATTTTAACATTCAGAACATCCCGATGTCTCACGTTTTACCCTGTCCTGTCCTCTTCTACCCCGGCTGCCGGCGAGTGCCCTAGCGATAATCTGCGTCCATAATTTCAGTGCCAACAGCACATTCACTCACTGTGTGTGTAACTTCCGTGTTTTGCCACCACCTCAATACCAGCATTTACTGTGCCCCGTTTCCATGTTTACGGTATCGACATACTGCGCTGGCCAGGCTTGGGCCGGGCCCTGGAAAATCATAAAGATTTCAGCCCAGTTCAGCTGCGTCAGTGCGATGCTCCGTTTCACTCGTTCTGTCCCACTACCCCATGGAAGCAAAGATGGGCCAAGCTCCTTTTCTTTTCGCTCTTTCTGTATCCTGGTTATTTCTCGTCGTAGTCTCTGTTTTGAGGATTCCTTTAGTGTTTTCGGTTTGCGGACGGAAGTTTTTTCACAGTTTTTTCAGGATTCACAATACAGCGTTAAGTCAAATCGGTTTCGGTTAAGGAGGTGTCGTTCGATTTCGGAATTCATTCTCACGGAGTCTATTCTGGCAATCGGTTTATGAGATGATCTGTTTTACGGGCGTTAATAATATAAACACGACATTAATTTAAGCATGAGAGGACTGCATTATCAATCCGTCCTCCCGTCCGCCCCGGCAGCTCAGTTGGCTAGAGCGCCTGCCTTCCGATTCACCCATCTGTGGCGGGGTTGGTTCGAGTCGCTTTAAGCGCTCCCTATTTGCCCTTGACAGATGTGGCCTGCGGCCGGTGGCTGCGACCGCGCCGAAAATCAGGTGACGTCAGAGGGCAGGATGAGCCGAGCTAGCCATTCCGGGCCACGGAGACTTTGCCCCCAAATTCTGCCGTTGGCCTGGCATTGCGTTACGGAACGCGGAGGTCAGGGCCCACACATGAGTACCGTTTACCGTGAGCTCAGCTCCCAAAAGTCCCAGTCATCCAAAAAAGGTTGAGATGAAGCCTAAAAAAACAGAACCATGCTGAATTTGCCACGCATAAAAACCACCAGACATCATCACATTACCCAGATCCACTTTACAACCTAGTCAATGCATCGATTACCTGGTTGGCTCTATTCTGAATCAATTTTATAACGAGTGTGCGAAAGAGCTGATTACACCTTGTCCGAAAAAAATGATCCCGATTCTGACCGGGATCGGTGCCGGATTCCGAATGCCGTCAATTTCTAATTCCGACCAGGGTCGAGTTCGACTGCACCTGGATCCAAGCATTAGTCTGTCCCTAGTTGCTGTTACGACACAGAACAAGCAACATCAGTAAACAAATTCGCAAATCATTATTTTGACTGAGGGTACGGCATGTTGATCACATTTCATTGCTTATGCATCGCTAAGATGTAATTCTACGCTCCCGTTTATTTAATATGATATATTTCGAGCGCACACAGAGCAAGTGGGCGTACCATAAACTTCCTGACTGTAGATCCTTTACATCGAGCATAATGTGATGATTTCAAAACAAAGATTTTCAACCGCTACGGGTTCCGGACAGCTGAAATACACTGTTGTATTTGTCTCCGGCGTGGATCAGCGTAAAATAAAACGACGCCATGATTGAAAGCACTAGCGCTAAATTCCTATTGCAATGCGTTACCCTACGCCTTCCGGGCCAGCGCTATATTCAGAGCGTCGTATAAAAATTTCAGCGCGAGCGGCAGACGCTTGGCAAAAATTTACGTGTCAAAGGATCTGAAGGGGACACTGTCACTCTTATCATCTTTCGGTCAGGCAATTTTCCGCAGGTCTCATCCCCTTAACCTCAAATTTGGGAAATAATGCACATAATTATGTACAGCATCGGCCAGAAACATCCAACCAGCTCACAGCGATGAATGTTACCATTCATATCTGGTGGGAGACAGCAGATGTTTAGTTTGCCCACCATGAAAAGCGTGAGCAGTGTGTCAGAATAGTAAAGATCGAAGCTAAGCATGTGTTTTGGTGTATGGGGTTTGAGGGAGGAATAGGCTTGGCCACACATGTTAGTGAAAATGATGAAATGCAAAAGGACACATTGTTATGGAGCCAGAAAAACCCAATTTAAACACAGATGTAAACGTATAAATGTGCTCCCAAACAGCAGAAAAGAGACCCAGAGACAACATGATAGCATACATTCTATCATGTTATCTATGATAGAAAGCATGATATCATATGATACAATAGAATGTACCTAGATAGCATGCATTCTGATATTACTGCTACAGTTTGACTCACCTTCTTGACAACAAGCATGTCACCATCGCCGCTGTGGCAAGAGCTGATGCGACGTCGTCGGACAGGACTGTCGCCGTCGGCGCTGTGGCACGAGCTGACACGACGGCGGCCGATCACAGGGCTGGTCAGACCGCACTCTGAGGGCTCTGAGGGGGAGGGGGCACTGGGCTGGTCAGACCGCACTCCGAGGGCTCTGAGGGGGAGGGGGCACAGGGATGGTCAGTCTGCACTGAGAGGGATCTGGGGGGCACAGGGATGGTCAGGCTGCATTCAGAGGGATCCAGGGATTGTCAGGGATTGTCAGGCTGCACTCAGAGGGGGAGGGCACAGGGATGGTCAGGCTGCACTCAGAGGGATCTGGGGGGGGGGGGGGGGCACAGGGATGGTCAGGCCACATTCAGAGGGATCTGGAGGGCACAGGGATGGTCAGGCTGCACTCAGAGGGATCTGGGGGGCACAGGGATGGTCAGACCATGTTCAAAGGGCCCTAAAAGGGCACAGAGATGATCAGAATGCACTCAAGGTGAACACTCTGTACTTTGGGGAGCACAGAGGGACTGGGGACAGCATTCAGAGAAATCCGAGGGGCACCAGGTTGTCTAGACAGTAACTGGAAAGTTCTGTGAGTGAGGAGTTATGAGGTGGGTACTCAGAAGACCTTGAGGGCCACAGGGCTGATCGGGCTGCTCTCAGTACTCTGGGGTATGCAAGGGTCAGGCTGCAGGTGGCAGACATGAATCAGATACATATGATCCAAATGAGACAATAAGCAGATGAATTACATATGGAACAAAGGCTGGAAAGTGCTGAGGGATATTTTTTAATGGCAAAGCCAATAGAGCTGACACCTTTCAAGGAAGGAAGAATATATACTTATGCAACATGCTTTTTTAATTGTTTTTTTCTCTTTTTCTCATGAAAAAGCTTTTATTAGAACTTCTTTAACTGTCACTGCCAAAATACCAACCATGCTGATCATCCACATACATAATAGACCACACTACCCTACTCACAGGTATTTCACCACTTACCTGTTGCAGTGCTAGGTTCCTGGCCCATCCCCTGAGATGCATCCCCAGCAGATTCAGTTGGTCTTTTCTGGTACCTGAATCTTTTTAAGTCTGATAACAATGACTGTGACATGATTCCTCAATATGGACCTTAAAGCTGTATAGCTGACTTTATGATTTCTTGATTATATTATTGTCAGACCTTTCTGGTACTCAAAAGGCAACAATTTCATGCAGATTCCTGAAATTCACAAATGGGGATGGTAACAACAGCATTATTTAATAAGCCAACTTGGGTTTAATAGCAACACCTACTCATAACCCATTTCAGCACGCATGGAACATTCTCAAGCTCTTCACTATGACCTGTTCTGTGAGCTATAGTAGCTTTGGAAGAATCTTGATGAAGCTATGGTCCTGCTCCAAGTAAAAACATTGATTTACCCAAGCACCTAACCAACATCACTGCCATGGTTTGCTGAATGTCTATGGGCATGTCTGGACAAGCACCCACAAACTGTTGTGCTGAACACTGACTCTTTGGCCTTTTCATGTTGAGATAATTTATAACTAGGATACAATTTGCCAAACACTTGACATCATTCATTATGAAAACAAACAAAACAGCTACAATTCTCATATCTGCATAGCTGATCTGATGTTTACCTCCTAACTTGCACTGAATTCATCATATCTGGGCCACAAACCAGGCATCAAATGATCCTCTTACACATATTGCATAAACTGCAACCTGATGCCTTCATACAAGTTAAAGAGACTTTCATGTTCCGATAACGTCTCTATGATGCCATGTATCTACAATCAACTGCACATTAATTACAAACGCCTGGACAATGTGCCATGGTTTTGAATCCCCGCAATACAACTCAGACCAGCGATCCAAATGAAGCAATTACACGATTACAGGTACCAAATTACCTATTCAAGTATTTGACAAGGGAGGCAGTGCAAATTTCGCTGATTTATAACCCGCAACTGGCCCACTCAACCCCGCATAACCGGCACGGCCGGCCCACAGTCTTACTGGCTGGTGCCTGCTGCTGCATGCTGGAAGATCGTAAACACAGAAACGCTGCAAAAATGGCGCTAACACTGGAATCACAAAGTGACGCATTGAAAGCACTGAAGTTGTCAGCTGAGTATATGACGTCATTGAACCATAGTGGGCCCGAACTGCAGGATGCCATTACTACTTAACACACCCGATCGCACTCCCAATGCACGATTATCAATGTTTTTAAAGCGCTGCCGTGTTTTCGTCTCCACGAGCCAGGTGACCGTCCGCGTTCGGTTACGTGCTGCCATGGGCTCGTATTAAACAAATGGGTGTTGCCGGCGGAGCAGAATGCTTCGATGCTGACGGTAGCCCTGAGCCAGCGCTATGAAGCACGCGGAGCCCAACGTTCCGCGCATGATTGTAAATATTTTGTCAATTCGTACGGTTTAAAGATTGCACCGTGCGAATGCTTTTTTTAATTTGGGGAAATAACACGGAACTGGAGCCTGTGTGACAATTTTTAGACCACGTTTGGCGATCAAGGATGTTGTGTCGTCAATGAGTGTTCCTGTGCTGATCCGGGGCCAACTGTGCGGGTCAGAAGGCCTCCTGTGTCAGGGAGGGGAGCAATGAGATATGATATATCCTTCCAATGGCCTCCGGATCGACCATGAGATCCCGTCTCGTGTCACTAGAGTGACAGCCAGAAGACGCTTCGCGATGGAAAGGAGTGACCCTTCAGCTCTTGACCGGAACCGGTAATGTGCCTTTGGTTTTCTAGCCAAGGGCCCCCTTGCCCGCAAGAAATAAAGGGCCTCTTTATTGTTGAGTAGAGTGGAGGTCTCATTATTGTTGAATAGAGTAGGTCGAAATTAATTCAAAAACAACAAGCAAGGCCGTCCCATCTTTGCCCAAGAACGTTCATTTCTTCAGAATGGATTAGTGAAAAAGTGCGTCAAAATGTTTGAACATGCCTGCCCGCAACCTCGAGAGCAAGGAGAGCGATGGTCTGGGTTGCAGCTTTCGTAAAACCGAATGGCGTTGGCCACTGCAAGTGCCACCAGACAGTGGGCGCCGTGTTCATCTATATTCTGGACAGATTAATAGTTACAGAAACACGCAAAATAGAAAACCTACCTTCATTCTTCCAGTTCCACCACCAGATTCCAGCCCCACTTCGCGGTGCTTTAAGGGCCAATCCGTTCTTATCATCAGTCTAAAAATCGCACACGTGTAATATGCGCCCAGACCGCCTTGTAGATGTAAGATTTGATGTCATGGAGCGTTCAAAAGTACTTCTTTCAGAATTGTCATCATTTTCGTCCACCCGTTAGCCACGGCTCAGTAGCTGTTGAGCCGAAGCTGCGCGGCCTACGGAGACTGCAACGCCTGGCGTCGAGATTTTTTAAATAAGATTCGCGAGCACGCACGCCCAAAATTATGTAACATAGGTTTTATCACTAACCGATTTAAGTGTTCAAAAATAAAGGTAAATTTCAGAACGGTTGTCATTTTCGTATACCGATGGACCATGACGAAAAGTTACCCACTGAAAAGTATCCATAGTCCGCTCTGCGGGCTATGGAGGCTGCAACGCCTGATGTCGAGGTTTTTGTTGCTAAGATTTGGGAGCGCGCATGTTAAAAACCACGTTATATGAATTGTATAACTAACTGATCCTGACCGAAAGCTAAACATTTCCAGATGAACATGACTTGGCAATGTTAATACACAGTGTTGACCACTCAACCTACAATGAAAATATTCACCCTCAAATTTCGATCAAACATATCGATCTACAATTTACCTTCACGGTGTCCTCAATGTCTGTAGAACGCAGACAAACATTATGAAAAAGCTTCTGAATTCTATCGGTTTAGAAACGGTCCCCTAAGCCCTTGCAAGTTGGGGATGGCGGTGATTTATTCCATGCGGCCGTTAAACGCCTGATTTCTGCAGTTTATCGACCTTAGCACGCGCTCGGTTGGGGGTCGAATGACTCGCCCCCGAAAGGTTTTCCAGAATGGCACCGAACGGCGCGGCGCGGCCGCGCCCTGTTTTGTATTGCCGTAGACAATTTAAAAGCGAATCGTTTGACATAAAACAATTTAGATGCATTTTGTAAGGTCGCTCGCCTATGACAGGTCAAAGTCAGACCATCGTTTCTGGGAAATCCACTTCTAGGGAGTCGTTCAATCTGATGCCAAAATGGAGTGTTGGACGAAGCTATAAATCTCTGAGATCCTTTCTTAGGCATCACAAATACTGAATGAGCAAAATACGTTCACCTAAGGTAATGTTTGAAGGTGAAACCAAGGTCAAAGCCAACCTGTTTTTTACGCTAGGGCTTGCTGCAGGAGATTTTTCATTTCCCGAGGTCACGGCCTCGCTTCATGTCACCGGAGCCACACCAAAACAGTCCTCTGATTCACTGGGCCCGAGGAATCGGGATAGCCCCTGCGTGTGCACAAGTGTCACCTGGGGAGCCTGAGATCAGGCGCGTGTTCAAGACTGTCCCGCCAGGCTGAAGCCTCTGATATGTGCATGGCGCGCGCGCGCGCGCGTGTGTGTGTTAACTAACAGCGTGATAGCGTGCGTGTAACAAGATAAATTCCCGGTGGGCCGCCTACAAATATATCAAGACACCTATGCTCCCGCGTGGAGAGCGAGACCGTGCGCGTGTGATAGCAATGGCTCAGGACCATCGAATGACACCGAAGCATCATATCATATTTATCCACTGGCGCCAGCGTTTGACATCACCCGCTGGAAACGTACACTCGCGCATGATGGTGGCCGCGAGGTGCGTGGAGGCGACCCGTCGACTGACGTGTCTGCTGGTGAGTTTTACGGTGAGGACGGCGACTTGCGGCCGCCAATTTGCGAACGGGGGATGAGTCATTCCCTCTGTGCATAGATCGACCCAACCAGGGGCCCATTTGTATGTCTCGAACATCGCTTAGGTAGAGCTATGCTTTACATGAAAGCGGCGTTGCGGAAGTGCGCTCCGGAGCTGGAACTGGTTTTGAGTGATACGACCGCGCCCAGCCGACCTGCGACACAGCCTACCCGCCAACCGGTGAGCACCCGGCCGATGACCGCGTGAGGGGGACGCCGTCCACCGCCGCGGGCGCCGCCTGCTGCCTGGTCGCTAATCCCGACAGTCAGATAGGACTGGTCGCCATAACACGCCTTGCGAGTAATTCGTGCTACGCTGCTACCTTCCGTGCTTTAAGCTTTCTACGCTTGATCCCGAGGAACATCAGTGTGTTTGGAGATTGCATGTAACTCGCTTGTGCGAGATATTCGCCTCGGAGCGGCCGATCTGCCGCCTGACATAAGTACCACGGTGAACAATTGGTATTCGTGAAAGCATCGGGAGCGGCGGTCATTTTGCGCCCAAGCCGGTTGAAAATATTCTGGACGTGACGCTTCAGACAACTAATCCTCCCCGCCGATGTGAAAGCGACTCCGAGTCAGAGAAGGGACAACAAGCCAAAATCGCGGGCAGGTAAATCACGGGACGATGCATAACAAAGCAGGCCACTGATGACCTTCTCCCAGTATCCACTCCAGCCCCCGTCCCCTATCCCTCGGCTCAATACACCCTACACTTCGCGTATTCTCCGAACGTTTCTCAGCCCGACACGAGCAATGAGCATGTGATTCACATGTTGGCTGTTTACTGCAATGTTTACTTGAATTGAAGTTTACCGAGCCTCCACGCGCCAGAACGCAGAACTCGAAACTGGGCGTTGCCCTTATTTTGGAATGTTTGCAACAGAACACGCTTAACGTTACCATGTTTTATTGCTCTTCAGACGCGCCTTGTGCCCCCGCATGGGACCGGACTACAGACGGCACGTCATTACCCATCCTCCATTAGTGTTTTAGATAAATGTTGCCGAGCCGCAAAAGCAGGCCGGGTCAAAGGCATAACAAAGCGTACAATCTCAGCAGGACTGCAAGCGCCAAGCGCCAGCAATACCAAAGCACACGGTCCTGACCGGCCCGATGTGTGAAGGCCTGCCCCTCTGTCGGTGCTCTCCAACCTCCACCGTCCTTCCTCCCGACTGTGCCAGACACGAAACATTACAGTCAGAGCGGTGTATTATACTAATCAGTTCTTCTTGGCCTTGGTGGGCCGGGGCGGCTCCTGGGAGCGGATGATGGCGGCGGCGCGGCGCGACGCCAGGCCGCGCAGGTCCTTGCGGTAGTTGGCCGCCTTCAGTGCGCGGCGCACCTTCTGGATGGAGACGCGGCGGCCCTTGGTCAGCGGCTGGCGCAGCACGCTCTGGCCCGGCTTGTGCTGCGGCACACGACACGCCGGGGGTCATCACCGGGCACGCTCCAGCCGCGTGGTCGGCTCGGCACTCACTGGCTGCAGTACTGCCCACACGGTGACTCGGATTTTAACGCCTATTAGCGTCACAAACGATTTTGTGGAGACTGTTTTCGCAAAACACTAAAAGAAGTTTCGGAGCGTTTGACAAGCAACACCCGTGTCTTATTTATTCTTTATTTAAACACAATTCATCGCTTTAACATTTCAAACTGCGAAAGCGCGGAACCTGAAAACGCACAACACGTCATTTTTGGGTCCGTCAATCAATTTGCATACTTTTTAGCCGGGTCCAGACATCATGTATAACGGCATTCCAGTGTCACTGTAAGCTTTCCTGGCGCTTCTGGGCAATACGTCAGCGGCCAATGGAGACAATGCCAGCTACAGCTATTAGTGACATCTAAGGTCCTCGCTTCATTTCAGATCGCTTGAGGCTGCAATCGCAAATCACACGCGGATGTCATTATTTACGTGGGCATTGCCAGTGTAAATTGAACAATATGCCTGCAACAATATTCCAGGCATGCAGCCAAATAGAGTGGCAGGACATAGACAATTCATTGATGACATGAGCGCTACCCTTTTGAAGCTTTAGTTCTGAGACAATCGCCCGTGTTACATTCCAGGGTGGATGTACACGTGCGAACACGAGCTCCTTCGCGTGATTTGGTAGCTTAACGGGAACCACGGGTATGAGCGCGCGTTATTCTGGCTCCGTCAGCCGGCATGCGTCTCGTCTGCCAGATGTTATGCGTTAGATGCCTGCGTCCCAGCCCCGAGTGCCAATCTGTTCCACACAACAATGTTGCAAGTCGCACGCCCGTCAACACTGCAAGCTGGCAACGAGCTCCGTTAAGCGGCTTCGTCGAGCCGCTTGACGGAGCTCCATTCACGGCTTTCGGAACTCAAGAGTTATAAGCTTCGTCAACGGCTTTCCTCGCTCAGCGAGATAGGTGTGCCAAGTCAGGTTTCTCGTTTTAACGGACATCACCACGCCATTTCAACACAACAGACTGTACTGTGCTCTACAGTACTCTCTGATTTGGTGCGACACCAAACTAAGCCAAGCAAACGTTTAGCTCCTACTTCCCGCTCCCAAGATCGCTAGGTAACAATGACGACCGAGTGAGCCGATCAGTAACTTACGATTCCTACCCACTGTACTATATATTCCTACCTATTATACTTACGATTCCTACCTGCTATATGACAGGTACTAGAACATTTCAGGAAATGTCGCTCGAAAAAGGAATTTAAAAAATGCGAGACCATATCAAGAAACAGCACTAAACACATTAGCCCGACAAAGAAGCGTTTATGGGGGTTCTAGTTCACACATGAAGCCAGATACCCAAGCGACAGCAGTGGGATGTTCGCACTTGTATTCGTTCAAGACTATCCACAAGTTGGCTTCCCAACGTCTAACGAGGTTCATAACAACGTTCAATAGGTCCCACTCGTTACAGCGCAGTGACGGCGGATACCACGAAAAGACGTACGAAGCTGAACGATGAATATGACAAACATGCCAATTTGAAACAAACCAATGACGGAATACATCACATAACAATGCATAGCACACACGCATTAAACTAACCCGATGCAAGTGAAAGTCATGCATCTGAGATTGCAGGCCGAATTTGTGGCCAGTCAATGCCAATGTCGAAACCGCCAGTCATGTAAGCTGCAATTACAAGGCTCGAGGGCGCCAGTACTCACCGCGGATCTCTTCTTCTTGGTGACCAAAACGGCACCCTTTCCACTGGTCGAGGGCTCCACGCCCACCACGTTGTTCTGCACGAACCCGTTGTAGCGGTACGTGTTCACATTCTTCAGGTTGTTGGCTTCCTGGAAGAGAAACAATCGCGTGACCATTACACTGTCGGCATGTCTACGATAATCAGCACTCGGCTATGAACATGAAGTCACTCAATGGGCTGTGCCTTATTCCTGCCATATGAATGGCAAAGCAACCATAATTAACATTTTAGGAATATATTTCGAGCTGTTTGGATTGGTGCGGGGTTCAGAATGCCTGTAGAACAGAGCTTGGTGCTCTGTTCAACCTGTATGAATGTTTGCCGTTCAAGTTCATTTGATGACTTGGCCTCGGCCACTCACTGGCCAGGACCGCGGACGGTTTCAGTGCGACGCAATCCTACCAGATGGCTGTCTCGAGCCAGCCTGACCGTCTCTGGCCACTGGCTGGCCAGGACCGCGGACGGCTTCAGTGCGACGCAATACTACCACATGGCTGTCTCGAGCCAGCCTGACCGTCTCTGGCCACTTGCTGGCCAGGACCGCGGACGGCTTCATTGCGACGCAATCCTACCACATGGCTGTCTCGAGCCAGCCAGACCGTCTCCGGCCAGTTGCCAGCTGACATTTCCATATGAATTAGACCAAACAATACGCCCGTTCTGGGACTGGTACCAGCCGCAGCTGGATTAAAATCTCAGCACACATACCCGGACCTCCCGAGGGCACGAATCCCCTGCCTATGGTTAAGTCACCATTCCAATATCTTTGGGTCCCCACCGCCAGGGCCTTTCACGAAGCCGCTGGCCTACACCGCAAGTTGTACGCAATAAAAGTTCCATTTTCGGGACAATTACGGAAGCACGGACAACGCACGACCAGACGGACCCGGTCTGGTAACGGCCGATTCCGGTCTGGTTCCGATCGGCTCCAGGTCTGGTCCGTCTGGTCCCAGTCGGTTCCGGTCTGGTCCCGATCGGCTCCAGTCTGGTCCCGGTCAGTTCCGATCTGGTTCCGGTCTGGTCCCGGTCGGTCCCGGTCCGGTCCCGAGCGGTTTCAGTCTGGTCCCTGCCGGTCCTGCACTGGTCCCGTTCTGTCCGTCCGATCCCTTTTGGTCACGCCCCTTACCGTCCGACCCCGCTCCATCGCGTCAGGTCCTGTCTTATCACGTCGGACTCCGTCCAGTCCCGCCCGGTCCGATCCGATTCCATCAGGTCTTGCTTAGCTCCACCTGGTGCCGTTCAGTCTCGCCCAGTTACATCCGGTCCCATCTTGCCTCATCACACTCCGTCCTGCCCCGTTTAGTACTGTTCTGTAGTGTCCGGCTCGATTCGGTCCCGCCAAGACGCATCAAGTTCGATCTGGTCCCGTCCTGTCACATCTGGCTCCGTCCCGTCTGGTCCCGTCTCATCCCGCCTCGGTCCCAGTGGGTCCTGTTCGGTCACGTCTAGCCTCGCCCAGTGCCATCTGATCCCACCAGATCCTGTCTGGTTCCACCCAGTCCCGCCTGATTCCTGTTGGTGCTGTCCAGTTCCATTCCATCTGGTCTGCAACTACCTGGTCCCATCAGATCTCTTCTAGCTCCACCTGGTCCTGATGTAACTGTCACCAGGTTGGCAGTGATATTTTGACATACCATACAATCAGGTGGAAGTGTTGAGACTTTCCACTATCTTCCACAAAAGCAGCTGAGTCTCACCACACATTTTTGTATTGGTTGATGCAAACTGTGTGAGACACATGTGAGGGAAACAGTGATTTATTATAATTTTGCAACAGAAATAGTGATTTATAATTATGGAAGGGAAACAACAATCTATGACTATTTTAAGTGTTTCAATACCTTGGTCACCAGTGCCAGGGGTTTTAATATTTTGGTCATGATATTACCCCCTCTCTCCCAAATCACATTTCAAGGCCTGCTGCCCCTCCCTCACTCAAAATTAATCAATCATCATCCAACCAAGCAGTGGCTCACCCAGCATCTAGGTGCTCCAGGCTTGACAAATGGGCTGGACATGTCATATGTCTGAATTCAAGGTCAAAGAGAAACAGACAAGCACCAACGAATTGCTTGCATGGGCCAACAGCCTGTATTCTGACATAATGAATCTACCTTTACATCAGTGCACACCTCACTGGATGATTTTTAGATGCTGCATATGGCCAGTCTGAAAACTATAGCAACATGACCTAGAGGGTGTTTGGGGCAGATAGATTCCTGTTCCAGATACAACAGTAAGCTGTCCTACATTAAACAAAATTTGTTAACCTTGTTAATGTTCCTATTGGGACTTAGTACTCACTCAGCAGCTCAGCCATATGGCATTGCCTGCCTCTTACCCTGCCAGGGAGGGCAGACACCTAAGAAATCAGGTTAACGCAGACAAGCCAACCATTACACTACCACCATTCCTTGTTAACCACACTTATTCCGAAAACACCAATTACAACATTTGTCACTTGCTGTGGTCTTCCCCATTTAAGTACAATTTTATCATGTTTGCCACAAATTTTTAATAAGATGCCCTAAACTGGAAGATATCCCTCAACTTTGTCCTAATGACATCTAACCAAACATTGTAAGTAAAGATTGGCAGATAGACTGATCTGTAGCAGCAAGATACATTCAAAAACATTTTGTGCATCTATTTATACTATCTACTGCATGATTCACATCCTAGATATAAAGAACCTGATCATTTTTGGAAGTGTCAGGCCTATTAAGCTATGTAGACATTGATCCATGGAAACCACAAGTTTTATATCATGTGCTACAGAGGATTTAACTTGAAATTAAGTCACCTTGAGGCATGCATGGCATTCACCCATGTCAATTGGATAAGTAATGAGCAGGATACTGAGAATAAATACCTTGCTGAAGGGTCTACGGATGTTGCGGGACTTCATCAAGTGGGCATGGTTGTTACGGACCATCTGCCACACCAACTCAGGTGATGCCAGGGATGCCATCTGAAAAAAACATTGGTCAGATGCAAAATAGTGAGATTCACTTCACCACATTAAATTGTCAAATAAAATGAACCTAGTAAAATATGCAGGCACAGCATTATCAGCGTAGGGGTTTTGAAAATTAGGTGGCACAGTGCACATAATCACACAAAGGCAGATGCTGTCATTACAACATCCCCCCGCAAAGTTTGATTAGTACTAGCCGAACATTCAGGCAGCAAATCGTAATATAACAAATCGTGACAAGCACCATGACAGCCTGCATGCAGGGTGATACCAAATTTTCGTCATACCGTACCTACCCTACTTAAGGTAAGGTAAGGTAAGGTAAGGTATGACAGCCCGCATGCAGGTTGATACGAAATTTGCGCAATACGTAGATCATTCGACTACATATCGGCCAATAGGGAACATAAAAACACCTTGTAAAAAATCTCAGATTACTTAACAAATAACGATAACTGTATAGAACCTTCAACGCTCCAACGTCAATTTACGTACCTTCCACCGCTTCTGTCGACGGCCAAAAGGAAGAGATGGGGACGCTAAAACAACGCTGCCATTTCGAAATAATGTTTTCATAAGACCTCTCAGCTGTCCAAAACCTAAGAATGGGGTAAAAAATACCAGAAATAGATACTTAAAGGCTACCGAAGAAAAAATTAAGGAAGCTTGAATGATATAAGGTGCATATCATAGAAGAGAAGGCTTTCTTTCAGTTCATTTGTTTTCAATGACGTCAATAGCTGTACCCAGATTGCTACCAAATTGCATCTTGCTGAATTGGTGCCGAAACCGACGCAGCTATTTCAGTTCTGGTATGCAGAAACGCGCCTGTTTGTGGCTGGGAGGGTTGGGCGATATCATCATCATGTGTAGTCGGCAGGAGTTGGGTGTTTGGGTGGGGTGGCGACGCCGAGGTTAGTCGGTCTGTTAGGACGAAGCTACGAGCTGGGGTGCGTTCCATTACATTAAAGTTTGCATGTGTTTCTGTGGTTCAGTTAACGAATGGATGGTTTGCTTTACCCAGGTGTAGGTGTACTTTCCTACCTAACGTTAGAGAAAATCATTGCACACCATTCGTCGCGTTCAAGGCGGCACATATCGTAAATCATCTCAAAACAGGTAGAATCATGCTCCTACCTTCGAATTTCAATAACTTCGATGGCGAGCTCCCGAGCGCCGCGCGCACCGCACCGCCTGGGCTCCCCAGCGCCGTTTCTGCGTTGCCGTTGCGTAAATACAATATTTCTGCTTACCAAGAACTCTACAAAATGTACGGGACCAAGGTAAACCATTCGTCGTGTTTAAGGCGGAACATATCGTAAATAATTTCAAAACAGATAGAATCATACTCCTACCCTCGAATTTTAATAAATACGATAGCGAGCTCCCGAGCGCCGCACGCCCCGCACCGCACTGCCTCGACATCCAAGCGCCGTTTCTACGTTGTTGCGAAAGCACAATATTTCTGCTTATCAAGAACCATAAAACATGTGCGGGACCAAGGTAACAATAATAAAGCAACCAAAATAGTTTCTTATCGAGTTTAGGTACATTTATGAAACACGCAGGTCAGAAAAGTCCAGAACATATCCTATCCTAACCTAACCTAACCCAACCTAACCTAACCTAACCTAACCTAACTGAGAATAGACCAGAACCTAAGCTAAGCTAAGCTAAGCTAGCCTGACCTGACCTGACCTGACCTGACCTGACCTGACCTAACCTAACCTACCTAACCTAACCTAACCTAACCTAACCTAACCTAACCTAACCTAACCTCACCTAACCTAACCTAACCTAACCTAACCTCCCCACCCTATATCCCCTTCAACCCAGCATCTCATTGACATCCATGTTCCATGCCATCTATAGGTGCCATATAGTGAGCTTTTATTTAGCTGCCATGTTCTCATTTTGCTTTACATTCCCCACCCAATCCCCCTGCAACCCATGGTCCCGTTGGTGTCGAGGATCAAATTTCATGGATTCTTGCTACCTTGTCCCGGTACATTTTTATGGTTCGCAGTGAATATGGTTTATAGTTATAGTATGGTTTATATAGTATAGTTTATAGTTATAGTTATGGTTTATAGTATGGTTCACAGTTAATATGGTTTACATGGTAAATATGGTTATGATAAATATGGTTTATGTTCAGTAAACATTTTTATGGTTCACAGTTAGGTTATGGTTGTCCTGCCTTAAACATGACGAATGGTTTACTTTGGTCCCGTACATTTTGTACAGTTCTTGGTACGCAGAAATATTGTATTTACCCAACGGCAACGCGGAAACGGCGCTGGGGAGTCCAGGCGGTGCGGTGCGCGCGGCGCTCGGGGGCCCGCCATCGAAGTTATTGAAATTCGAAGGTAGGAGCATGATTCTACCTGTTCTGAGATTATTTACGATATGTCATGCCTTAACCATGACGAATGGTGTACAATGATTTTTTCTAACGTTAGGTAGGAAAGTACACCCTGACCGCTTTACCCTTTCATTGGATTTGTTGAAGGTGCAGAGTCAGGGTGTACTTTCCTACCTAACGTTAGAAAAAATCATTGTACACCATTCGTCGTGTTTAAGGCAGGACATATCGATAAATAATCTCAAAACAGGTAGATTCATGCTCTTACCTTCAAATTGCTAGTTTTGAATAATTTCTTCTCAGCCAAAATGGACCTATCTGCAAAACTATCTCATAAGAGCTAATAATATGTGCATTGCTATGAAATCTCATGCAGTGCAGCATTGTCATTAGCTGCTTATGCTAGGCATATGCCTGCAAGCTATTGGACATATGAAGGACTTCCTCTTTCCTCCTAGCATTGCACATCACACAGGGCTTAAAAGCTTTGCCTTATCCTGTATGCACCCCAAGCGTTAAGGCCAATTGACTTATTAGGCAGGTTTGCTTTCCCATCTGTTACCACATTCATTTTAGACAGCAACAAAGTTAGGTAACATAACTTATATGTAATAAGCAAGTTCAGGTAGCTATGGAGTACTTTCATATTCATGGAATATATTATTCATAGATATTGAACATCATTCACCTCCACCTTCATTTCAGTCAGTGATAACTCATAATCCAATGTGATGCACATGAATAGGGCTGACTGGCTATGGAGGTAATCACCATGATGAAAATTGTGAAACTTATAATCCAATGTAACACACATGAATAGGGCCCGCTAGCTATGGAGCTTATCTCTATGATGAGCAGTGCTCATTGAGGATTGTGAATTTGCATGTCTGGACTGGGTGACAAAGGCGGTTTCCATGTTCAGAAGGGTTTTCTCACCAGTATTCAATGATGTCTGCAACCTGGATGTGCTGCTTTGACCTAGTGCCTCTTTTTTCACATCCCTGCATGTACACTTGCTTTTGGAGTAACTATGGATCTTTTCTTGCAGATCAAAATGAATGAATATTCTCCTAGCCTCATCCTCTTGATTAATGGAAAAAGGAAATCAGGAAAAGACTTTTTTGCAGAGCTGCTGCACAAAAGGTAAAGACTGCTCTCAGAAGTGGCCTAAATGCACTTGAAAAACTATGTGCAGCTGGTCTACAGATTACCTGAGCAGCAGCCTTGCAGTACCAGTGATCAAGGTTATTGTTGCACCATATGCCATTGTCTCGGATCAAGATGCTGCAAATTAGAGGTCATGCTCTACCTGTTGAGCTGGGTGCACAGTAGCCAGATGCAATAGACATTATTCAAAATGAGTTTGCAAGTGACAATTATTGTAACATCCAGCATGGTATGACATGCCATGCCACACCATGTTATGCTATGCCATGCCATACCGCACATGATGCCAGTCTTTTGCATGGAACGTGTTGACGTCCTTAGTCGTGTTCTGTCTTTGGGTTGTTCAACACTATTTAGACAACTTGCGAGCTGTGTTCCTCGTGTGGCCTGATGCTGTGGAGGTTGGCTGCTGACTAGATCACGGAAGTGTGCGTTCAACACGCCTGTCGTCACCGTCACTCAGATTGGGCGACGAGAGATCCGTCATCGTTCGGCTGTCGGCCCCCATCAAGTCCCGCTTCGCCCAGGAGTATCGCCTCGACTACAATAAGCTGCTCAGTGACTCTGACTACAAGGAGAGGCGAGTCAAAGGAGTGCTGACTTCTGCGCCAGACCGGTCGCTCGCTGCCAGCCCTAATACCAGACCGGCCGCTCGCTGCCAGCTGGTACCTGCTGACACAGACTTTGCTGCACCTTGCGTCTGTACAAATCTGGCAGCCATGGTGACAGTAGTTGTGCAGAAGTGATCGCATACCGGCCCCAGCCCACATCAGTTGACGCCGGGTGGCACAGCAGTACTGTCTGCATTACTGCACTGTAACCAAACATACTGGTCCCTCACCTGGTGTTTGTCAATGCATATGCTGAAGGATGCCACAGCAACATTCTGGCTTTTATGGCAACACTTGGCTCAGCTCTGATATGGCCACACAGCAGGGATCGGTCTGAGGAGGGAGCACTGCTCCTGGACCCGGGCCCGGGCGCAGTGACCTGGCCCCGGCCCGACTGCGGCCCATGACCCGTAACCTGACCGGCAGGTACCGCCAGGAGATGATCGTCTGGGGCGAGCGCATGCGTGCCGTCGACCCGGGCTACTTCTGCCGCCTGGCGCTGGAGATGGTGCCGGCTGCCGGCCGCGCACCCGTCTGGATCGTCAGCGACACGCGACGGCGCACCGACATCAGGTCAGCGCATCCGTGGTGGGCCAGGCTCGGGGTCAGGTCAGCGCGTCCGTGTCCGGCCAGGTTCGACGTCAAGTCAGCGCGTCCGTGTCGGGTCAGGCCCGTGATCAGGTCAGCGCGTCGGTGTCGGGTCAGGCCCGTGATCAGGTCAGCGCGTCGGCATCGGGACAGGCCCCGAGGTCAGATCGGTGCGTCGGCGTCGGGTCGGGCCCGAGGTCAGGTCAGCGCGTCGGCGTCGGGTCAGGACCGAGGTCAGATGAGCGCGTCGGTGTCGGGTCAGGCCCGTGGTCAGGTCAGCGCGTCGGCGTCGGGACAGGCCCGTGGCCAGGTCAGCGCGTCGGTGTCGGGTCAGGCCCGAGGCCAGGTCGGCGCGTCGGCGTCGGGTCAGGCCCGTGGCCAGGTCAGCGCGTCGGCGTCGGGACAGGCCCGTGGCCAGGTCAGCGCGTCGGCGTCGGGACAGGCCCGTGGCCAGGTCAGCGCATCGGTGTCGGGTCAGGCCCGAGGCCAGGTCAGCGCGTCGGCGTCGGGTCAGGCCCGAGGTCAGGTCAGCGCGTCGGCGTCGGGTCAGGACCGAGGTCAGGTCAGCGCGTCGGCGTCGGGTCAGGCCCGAGGTCAGGTCAGCGCGTCGGCGTCGGGACAGGCCCCAAGGTCAGGTCAACGCGTCGGCGTCGGGTCAGGCCCGAGGTCAGGTCAGCGCGTCGGCGTCGGGTCAGGCCTGAGATCAGGTTAGCGTGTCGGCATGCTGACCGCAGCTCTGACTCCCCCGTGTCGCTCTCTCTGCGGACCACCTCGCCTGATCGTCGCCGAGTCTCCTGCCCTCGTGCTAATGCTGATGCTGATGACCTCCCTGGCTGCGTCTTTGCTGAGTCTTGTCGGCACGCCTCTGGCCTAGACGCAGAGTCGTGCTCACGTAGATGCGAGGACGCACGCGTGCATTGGACTCTGCTTTAGCCGTTTGGACTCTGGCGCACTGGGCGTAGTTGGGATTGGGACTCTGAATAGCAGCTTGGAAGTCGTGCCACCGGAATGCCTTCAGGCACGAGCAGACAGTCGGCCGTCGGCGGTGGCTCGTGCGAGGCCAGAGCTCTAACGGGTTCGGCTCCGTTTCAGCTGGTTCCGCGAGTGCTACGGAGAGCGTGTCAAAACGGTGCACATCAAGGCCAATCTGACCGTGCGCGAGCTCCGCGGCTTTGTCTTCACCAAAGGTTAGACCGTGCCCGTAGACACCATCGACCGAATATGCGGCGGTGTCGGTGGTCAGCTTGTTATATTGTGATCACGACCTGCTTGCTCGGACCGTGCTATGTAGTTCGTTGACGAACTTCAAAAAGCGCGGCAAGCGACATTAAAGAGCTCGATTTTTATTGATAATGATATTGGGTCATCATGAAAGCACTACAAATGACATATTTGATATACGTACCTAGAATAAAAAGGTGTCAGCTACGTCGACCATATGTAACAAATGCGTTAAACATCGCTAGAATGAGCACCCGGTCTACAGAAGTGGGCAGGCGGTGGCATTGCAGGTTATGTACCATTCAACGAGCTATTGCGAACGTTATATTTGTTTTACTGTACTCCACATCAAGCAGTTTATTGTGTGTTGAACATCACGGATCTCGCCGCGTTCCTGCGTTCGTCCAAGTGAAGCGTATCGGACTCTTCAAGCCAGAAGGCTCTCAGCGACGTCAGTAGCGTCTCTAATGTCACGACAGGGTCTCAGGGTCCGTGACCCAGGTGGGATCCTCGGGCGGGTGGGCTCACGCCAGCCCCTGTGTGAGTGCTCGCACCGCTGTTTTGGTCAGCGCTGCGCTTGATGGGCCCGTTTGGGGGTCTGACCGTGTGCCGGCCCGGCCCGGCAGGGGTGGACGATGCCGAGTCCGAGTGTGACTTGGACGGCGTCGCCGACTGGGACCTGACCGTGCTGAACAACGGCGACCCGCGCCCGCTGGAGGAGGCCGTCGAAGCGGCCGTCGGCTGGTGCCCCTGACCGCAGCCCCGGCAGGACGTCGTATCGGACCTCGTGTCACGTGACTTGGCGTGACTTTACGTACTCCAACCGCACTCCTAAGCAGACCTCCAGCTGGATAATGGACTGGTCAATCCGTTTTTAGCACCGTCTCTGGTCAGACCCATTGCGGCACCTCTCTGATTGCTACTGGCATGTTTCTGAACCCAGCGTACAGAGCGGACGTTCTGTACCTACTGCTTGAAGCGGACGTTCCGCTGCAGACTGTGACCGGGCGTTTGGCCTGGCCTGGCCGTCGAACGTCCGACGTGGCTGCAGACCGTCCCTCAGGCGGCCATACGGACGACAGACTGTGACCGGGCGTTTGGCCTGGCCTGGCCGTCGGACGTCCGACGTGGCTGCAGACCGTCCCTCAGACGGTCATACGGACGACAGACTGGCCAGGGCAAGCCTAGCCTCACTTTTGATGTGGGCACCGAGGTTTCGGGGCCTTGGGGCCTCGGAGCCTCGGGGCCTTTGAACACAGCTGCACATCTCTGGAGCACAACACTTGGATAGGGTCGGCTTAGCTAGCTCTCTTTCTCTCTTCGTCTCTCCCTCTGTCACGTACTGGGGATTCCGGTAGCACCGGTCGTCTGGCGCGTGGTACTGCACCTGTAAGCACAGTGGTCAGGCGCCAGACGTGGGAAAACTTACGGCCCTCTGGTTGTGGGATGGCCACACCATGCTTTCTAATGCTCAGATGATGATCAACCAGTCCTATCGCGGTCGAGGCCAGCAAAATGCCAGACGGCCTCCCATGGTCAATACCGTTTCTCAGCCTTCCGTCCTATAATTTTATGTGTTATAACAGTTTTAAGGTGTAATACTTGCCCTTTATATGATGGCATTCCACACGTATACTCGCCGTTAAATAATGCAGAGAATCCGAGCGACTCAGCCCGCTCGGTCCATCGCCAGATGGCTCTGTATGTCACTAATGTTTGCCACGTGGGGGGGGGGGGGGGGGGGGGTCTCATGAACCGTCGTGCAGAGACCGTTCGCAGGAGGCCCAGCCGCTGTTACGTCGTCTCGGGCCATGGGCGCTGGCGAGTCGCTCAAACCAGGGCTCAACTCTTGTGATCAACGTGGGCCATTGTCGGAGCTTCTGAGATAGTTACCAATGTTCCTTATGGAGTGTCATGGGCGCCTCGGCAAACGGCCGTACTGTTACTGTTACGAGCAAGGCATGGTGTTGGACGAACTGTTTCCCTCTGGTAGGGTGTATTTTTATACCTACTGTTTGCGTTGCTGTTAGACGAATCGCTTGTCTTGTATTGGGACGCACTGCGCTGTTTCTAATACAGCAGTTCACGTTTTAATGGCCGTCTGTCTTCTATAATGGGATCTTCTGTCACCAGCCCCCACGCGTTTCGCGCAGCTCGTATTGAGCGCCGCTTGAGCACGCTCGAAGCCTCCAAACGTTTGATTATTGGCCTCCGATTGGCCTGTAGAACCGATGCTGCGGTCGTCGTAAAGCAGTGCGTTTCGTACCAGGACACGCGTCTGCTGGGCCACGCCATGCGGTGCGCGATCGGCACGTGCTCATAGCTGACGCCGCCGACACGCTGCGCGCCGTGCCCGGTGTTCCATCGGCGTGTGTTCGGAGCTCCCGCCGCCGACACGCTGCGCGCCGCCATGCTTCCCACGCTTGGCTGGCGAGCCGGCGCAAACGACGTCGGAGAGCGGCGCCGCTCGGTCCCGGTTTTGCTGCAGGCAGCGCACAGGACCAGGTGGCGACTCGAACACGCCCGCACGTGGATGCTGAGTGCCAATCTGTGGTGGCCGTGCGTGACAGCGGTCGATCTCCGCTGCTGTTTTGGTGGAGATCGGAGCGCTCCAGTGGTCCGCTGGCGGTGTGCTGTTATCCGGCACCGGCTCATCGATGTGCTGAACGCGGGCTCACTGGGATACACAACCCAACAACGTGGTCAACAGCGACCCAGATGCGCCAAGGGCTTACATCGAACTTTGGACCCGGATACCCGCCACATAGAGAAGAGTCCTCTGTCCTCCGGTCTGTCAAGGCTTAAGTCCTTTGCGAGCCATGACCTCGGCGACCCGAGGTCATGGTCCGCCCCAGGGTCATCGGTCGCGCCGGGAGCAATCGATGGCACGCAGACGCTCTGTCGCGGGACATGGCGCGGGCGCGGCGTCCAGCCGACGTACCTGCCGGACTAGTGGCGCCCCCCTCGTCTTTCCGTCGACGTACCTGCCGGGCGACGGGTGGCGCCCCCCCCCCCTCGTCTTTCCGTCGACGTACCGGCCGGGCGACTAGTGGCGCCCCCCCCCCCCTCCCCCCTCGTCTTTCCGTCGACGCCTGGCTCAATGATGTTATTCCGCTCCGGCTTTCTTGTAGCCCGTGGGCGACGTCGCATCCGGCAGGCACGGTCACCTCGCATTAGCAAATGGACGACGCTCTTAGACTACAGCCACCGGTCATTTACGCCGGATGTAGCATCGGAATACACTGGAATATGGAACACTACGAATGCAAAGCGCGCTGACATCTACGTCTCGTTAGGCAACATAATGTATCAGCAGGTCGTCTGAGAGTGGAGGCGCACAGATCAATGCGTTCGTTCGTGGTTTTCGCGATCCGTTGCATTCTACACAGGCCCCATATGCGAGCACGGTGCGGGCAAGAACCGCAGGACCGGAACGAGCGTGCCGTAGAAAGTGTCACGCGGAATGCGACACTGCATGTGCGGACTTCTTTGCCGTCGCACCTCCGACGGCAGTAACATCGCATCATCACGTCCGCCTATACGCTATCGTGGTCTGTTGTGTGCGCGCTGACCATCAGTTGAATCAAGGATTGGTTCATCCGTGCGCTGCCAGCAAGAAACTACATCTGATAGATTGCCGAAGTCGCGAGCTTCACAGCACCATGACCAACGGCCCGGCCTTCCCAGTGACCAACGATCTGCTCTGTGATGCGTGCGCTGGTCTGACCTGATCGTCAGCAGGCCTCAGCGCCGACACCAGAACCAGCCGCTCTGTGATGCGTGCGCTGATCTGACCTGATCGTCAACAGGCCTCAGCGCCGACACCAGAACAAGCCGCTCTGTGATGCGTGCGCTGATCTGACCTGATCGTCAGCAGGCCTCAGCGCCGACACCAGCCAACCGCTCTGTGATGCGTGCACTGGTCTGACCTGATCGTCAGCAGGCCTCAGCGCCGACACCAGAGCCAGCAGCGCTGTGATACGTGCGCTGGCTGACCTGATCGTCAGCAGGCCTCAGCGCCGATACCGGAGCCAGCCGCCCCGACATATTCCTGCCACGCTTCGCACCCGCACCGGGCGCCTGCGACGCTTCCCCGCAGTTGACGGCCCTCCAATCCGGGCGCTCCCCGCAACATAGCAGCAGCGTTTTCGAGAAGGTGTATTTGTGCGGACGTCGTTTGTTACAAAATGCGGGCGTATCTCTAATGATGCGCTATGATGGCTCTCTTCGTCTCCGGGGTGGGGGCGCCGGCCGGGGGAGTAGGGGCGGTCGGCGCCGCGCCGCCGCGCGCGCAGGCGCAGCTCGTGCGCCGGGAATGCCTGGAGTGCGGAGCGCACCTAGTAGCCGCCCCTGCCGTCCGAGTTCTCGCGGACGCTGCAGTGAGAGGAGAACGGACACGCGTTAGACACACTGACAAGGCTCGCGGTGGCCAGGACGACACGCTGATTCGTAAATACAGACAGCATGGATCGCGACACGTGAAGATCGGTAACGATTACCATGATTACGTCACAAGTCACATAGTGTGGACAACTGCATACCACCATCACATACATGGCGGTGCGCCACATCGAACAGAACTAACGCGACATCAGAAAAGGCACGGCACGACCCAAACGACCGTCCGATGACTGATGCGTTCCGCCACACCTCAGGCACTGCTCGATATGGTCAAGTCGAGGTCAGGTGCGTCGCAATCGCACGCCGCACATCTCGGCGCCCACCCCTGCCACATGGACGGCAGGCCGGTGCCCGTCGTAGTCACCACGTCCGCACCGCACCGCGGTGCCGCCGACAGCGCGGCCGTCCCCGCCGCCGCACGGAGCCTGCCGCCGGCCGGCCCAGCCGTAGGAGATTAGCGATTTCTTGTTACTCGAAACAGAACAACAAAATCACTAGTCTTCCACACGGCCGGGCTGCTAAGGCATCCGTTGGCGGCGGCGCGGGTCCACTTCTTGAACTGCCTCCAGCCACAGTATAGCAACACGTCCCGGACACGGCAGGATCGGTGCCGACAGGCTCGTGTTTGGTTCGACTTGCATTTTGGTAACGTGACAAGACACGGCCAGTTTTTTCCATCTGATGCTGGCACCCCAATAATCTTTCACGCGTGAGACGAAACCGCTTTCCAAAATTTAGGTCCATACAGGCGCGATCAATCAGTCTACGGGCGAACTTGTTCGAAAGAACCGCGCAAAATGGAGGGGAGGGGGGGGGGGGGGAAGTGGCGCCTTCCTGCCGCCAACGACCGCTGCAACCCCGCGCGTCGTCAGCCGCCAGCGCCAGCCCGTCCCTCGGAACCCGCTAACATGCTGGCACGACGCACCACGCAGCTCTCCCACCGCTTCGGACTTTTTCTACGTGTAAGGCCCGCACAGCGCACACATGTCGTCAGCAATGTCTCAGACGTATGCATCCGGGGAGTTCGAACTCGCTCCGTATCCCAGCCGGCGTAGTCTGAGTGAACCGTAATTGTCATCGTTTCACGAAAACTAGACACGCACTAGAACGTTACAGCCGTCCCCGAGCGACTGTTTTTCCGCGAGTCGGAGACATCTGTCGTTCGCTGCACGCATTCTGACCCGCTTACCAACCGGTGCCGTCCGGTGGACAGCTCGCGCCGACAGCCCGGCCATCACCCCAGCCCGCCCCGCCGCAGCTCACCTCTTCTGCAGCAGGAAGTGGGCCATCTGCAGCTGGTCGGCGGTGCCCGTGATGGTGACCACGCGCTCGGCCTGGCCCTCCTTGGCGTCGTCAATGTTAATCTGGGCGCCCGAGTCGGCGCGGATCTGGCGGATGCGCGAGCCGCCCTTGCCGATGATGGCGCCCACCGCCTGCCCGGCCGGACAGCGCACGGGTCAGCCCAGGTCAGGTCAGGTCAGGTCACTCGACGGCAACGGCTCGCCTGAACGCGGCTCTCTCTGCCGACCCTGACCGGCTAAGACGAAACGCGACCCGGCGGCGATGGCGCTCCGCCACGCTCCTGTACATTGTCGAATTACTTACAGGTACGAAGCTATGCAAATGTGCTGAATGCAAAGCACCGCATCATACCTGGGCATACAGCGCGCCTGTTCTCCCCGGATGCGATGCCTCTATTACCACATAATCGCTATATACTCGCAAGCGACATGCCCTTACCAATGACGGAAATCGGCCACAGACTAATGTACCATAATTGCGTCAATCACATGATGATGAGCGCGACACACGTAACTGTGAAAGTCTGCAATAAGCCGTGCGCAATGTCGCGCCTGACGACGTTCGGCGCATATCAGCTGTTGACCCAAACATCCGGGACTGACCGCCTCGCCGCGGGTGGGAAACCCCTCCCCCGTCACTCACGTTCTTGGGCACGGAGAACTGCTGCGTCTCGGTGGCGCCGCCACCGACGCCGACGCCGGCAGCCGCACCGGCGCCGGCGGCGGCGTGGCCGGCGCCGTTACCCTGCAGCAGGGTCAGCATGTCGCCGCCGGCCGGCGCGCTGAAGTCCATGCCGCCCGGCGGCAGCTGGCCCATCTGGCCCGGCAGGCCCATGCCCATGCCTCCGCGACCGCCACCGCGCATGAATCTGTCGGGACGGCATGCAGGCGTCAGGGCTGGCACAAAACACGCCGCTGCAGACGGCCAGCCGCCGCGCCACGCTTCAGTGTCGAAACACGCGAGCAACCGAGGCAGACAGCGCAGGTCGCAAGCGACGGCATTGAAGGGAAGCTAGCCGTATAATATCTGGTCAACGACAACGAACGCGACTGGCACTTAGATCGCGACGTCAGGGTGCCGAACTTCCACGCATGTCTACCATGTCAGCTCTGCCCGGCTCCAGCAACTCACCCTCCGCGAGCCGGCAGACCGCCGCGCGCGCCGCCCATGCCAGCGCCCATGCCGGCACCCATGCCGCCTCCCATGCCACCGCCCATGCCGCCGCGCATGGGGGAGGCCTGGAAGGGGCGCGGCCCGGCCATGCCGCCGCGGCCCGGTCCCGGGAAGCCGCGCCCCATACCGCCCTGCGGCCCCGAGCGGCTGCGGCCGTCGGCGAACCCGCCGTACTCGGCGGCGAACATCTCGTCGTAGTTGGACGGGTCGTACGGGCTCGACATACCCTTGGGCGGACTCTGCGGCGACGAGGCGGACGATTAGACGCGGCCCGGCGGCGCCTGCGCGCCCACGGGCGGTACAGCGGTCAATGGGCTGCACAGGGTAGCGAGCCCGTCACGTATAGGGCAACGGCTCATTACACAAAAGGCCTCCGACCCCTCACACGAAGGGCAACGAGCTACAACGTGCAGTACCACTACACGCAAAGTACGGGGAGTTCATTAGACGGCTGCTGAAAGGTCATCACACATTTAGCAGCGGACCTATCAAGCACAGCGGAATGTGTGACGTATACAGTACAGTGCGACCAACGCACACCGGCCTGCATCTGAGCGGAGCAGCCGGACGCGGCGCGGAGCGAGCTCCGCGGCAGCCTCGGGCCGGCCGGAGACAATTACGTCCAATGCCCGGAGGAGAGATAACCGGCCGCGTCCAGAGACGGCCGCCGCCCTGAATTACAGCACGTCCGAAGTTCAGCGCTGGCGTCATGGCGACATGGGCCGGGGGCATCCACTCACACCGGCCCGAGGCGGCCGGCGCGGCAGGCAAGGCCGGCCGGATCCCCATGCGCTTTCGGATGTCAGCACGGCAGCTGAGAGGGAGCAGCGGCGCCGAGGAGGCCTGAGCGTCAGCGGGTGCCGCTGAGGTCACAGCAAAGCTCCAGCTGAGGAAGGTGGGGCACCGCAAAGGTACGCAAAGTGGCGCTGGGTCACAGCAAAGCTCCAGCTGAGGAAGGTGGGACACTGCAAAGGTACGCAAAGTGGTGCTGGGAGCAGAGGAAAACTTCAGGGGTCGCAGGGATGCTGCTGAGGGCTAAAGAAAGCTCCAGAGGCGGCCGGGGCGGTGCGGCGCCACTGGGGTCCGGCCACCCTTACCTCGTCGAGCAGCGCCAGGATGCGGCCCAGACATTGGACGACGCTGTCGCGCGGGCCCGAGATCTGCGTCACGCGGTCCGACGACTGCGGACACGGCTCGGTGTAGACGCGGATCTGTGTGCCCGTCTCCTGCGGACGGCCGGCCGGGCGGCGGGTCAGCAGGCGGCGTGCGCGGGCCGCGCGGCGTCACACGCGGCCGCCGAATGGTGGCCGGAGCGTCGTGCCGCCCACCGCTCCGCTGAACTGAGCGTGAGCGGATCGAGCGAGTGCCGGTCCACCACCCGCCCCACACAACAGACGAGGCTTTCGTGATGTACGAGCCAGATCAATAACACCGTCACGCACAACCTGCGTGACACAACCGTCCTTTACCGCCAGTCGACAACATCGCACCTCCAGCCTTCCCCGCCCCGTCAGCAGTCCCCGAGCACACACGAAGTATACGCACATGACAAATTAAAAACGTTCTGCCGATGACAAAAACCAACAAGGAGCAGCAGCCCGCCACCTCCTGTGCAGTCGTCCGCGCGCTGGGCACCGGGCGGGAAGGGGCGCGGCCGGCGCGCGCGCGCGGGCGCCGGCGGCCGCTCACCTCGCGCAGCTCCTTGATCTTGAAGCCCGACTTGCCAATGATGCTGCCCGCCTGGCTGGTGTGCACCAGGAAGCGGACCTCGCCGTCCGTGGCGTCCGGATCGCGGCCCGGAGACTGGCGGCGCGCGCGCGGACAGGTCAGGGTAAGTCCCGGTCTGGCAGCCCGAGCGCACGTGCCGGCACCGGTGACGGCCCGTGCGCTCTGTGACTGTGCACCGGTGACTGCCGGGAGAACACGCGGGCCGGTGCGGGAGTCTGGCCTCGCACCAGACGCGGTCAGCCACGGACCGGAGGCGGGCACAGACGCCGGGTTCGGACATCCGTGACCCACACAGGCCGAACGGAACGGGCTGCATTGGGCTGGTGGGCTGATCGCGCGCCACGGTCCGAGCCACACATGCGCACTGGACTCGTACACCAATTGGATCTTCTCCACACATAATCAGATCTTCACACTACTGACACCTTGTGATGGCCTGGAGGCAGCCAGGAAAGCATCGACTGATAGCCAAACACGTGTCCACCTCGCACAGAAACCGGCCTGAGCCTACACAAAGCCGTGTCGTCCCTGGATTCCACGTCTGAGTCTGAGACCTCAATCACGGCGGGCGGCGGCGGAGGCGCGGCCGCGGGGGGGGGGGGGGAACGGACAACCACTCACGTCATCGAGGTTGGGCAGGAGGTCGGTGACGATCTTCAGCGTGGTCTCGCGGTCGGCGCCGATGTTGACCACCCTGGAACGCGACGGCGGCAGGTCAGACGGCGCACCGCACGCCGTGCGCACGCTCAGACGACCGCGACAAGTTACCGATTTAGGCGCAAGCGGCTTAACGTGAGCATGCAGCAGCTAATACGAAACGAGAATGAACAACATGTATTTGATAGCGAACAAGACGCGGTGACTGACTATACGGAAAGCGGCAACTTTAACAACGTGAACGACCTATCGTAGCCGCTTTACACACAAGTAGACATTTCATGTATACGTGAAGCTTTAATGAAGTGATAAAAGCAGCCAAAAGCATCCTAGTCATATAGCCACGGGCAAGCAACACGAATGATATATTAACTTTCACAATAAACGAGGCAATATAGTTGAAAGACCCGTGATAACGGCAAGTAAACTAACTGAAGGCGCAGAGCGCCGGCAACTGAACTGTCGTTCACGTCAGCTAAGCAAATGACTACCAAGCATGCAATGACATCGCGGCAAGAGCGCGCCCAGGCAAGAGGCACGTATGCACACTGAGGCGCCAGCGGCGCTGTTTATCACGGGGTTTATAGAAGTATACGAGTTGGTTACCGTTCCGGACCCATTGTGTCTGGTATTGTTACAGTGGCACTGTTCTGTTTCCCGGGGCGGGGCGAGCACCGGGGCAACACCCAATCGCGGTGGCGGTCGGGGGCCGGGGGCGTGGCGGCGCGCACGGCGGTGGGCGGGCCAAGCGGGGCGGGGGCGGGAACAGATGGGGAGAGAGAGAGAGCAGAGTTAACGCCTCGCGCTGGACCGGCCGCCGGCCGCCGGCCCGCGCCACGCCCGGCGGGCGGGCGGGCGGGCCGCCGGCCGCGGCCGCGCCACACTCTCCAACAAAAACAACTCAAAACAAGACACACGTCGGTCAGGGACCGGCCGGTGCTCACAGACGGACCTGGTCACCAGCAGCAGAACCAGATACTACATGATGTCGACCCCAAGTGCGTTCTCCAGAGCAAACAAACACGGGCGTTGACATTGAATGGGTCGGTCGCTACGTTGGTACACTATTTAAGACCAGCTTGAGACAACATGAAACCGTGGCACGGCGGGCACTAAATGGTGGCACCCCTAAACCAAAAGAAACCGAGGCCTGCAATTAAAAACATAACTAAACGCACAAACCAAATAAAACGCGAGTTCAAAAAAGAAACGAGTCATCAAAACACGGCATCGATATGCTGAACATGGCCGCTGGGGGCCGGCTCGACGTTATCATTACGGCAGGCTCCGGCCGGAGGGCCGACGCAAGGGCATGCGGTCCCTCGGCGGCGACCCACCTGCTCGCGGAGGCGGCTGATGTTGCTGCCGCCGCGCCCAATCACCGAGCCGGCCGCCTGCCGCACACGGGGCAGCACGGTCAGAAGACTCATTCGGAGCATCGGCCTGATTGACATCCGCGCAGTGGCGACCAAGTTCGGCTGCGTCGTAGCGCCGCATCGACGTGCGTTCACAGCCACAGCACTCGCGCAGACACCCGCAAATACTGACACCCAGACTTCGCTACAGTGGGCTGCACCTGGCTCCAAATGACTTGATGCTAACGCAACCCAAACAGACATGAAGCGAAACGTTGCAAAGCATAGCCTTTCAGAAAAAAGTCAAAACGGTATCTACCAACTTGCGAACAAGAAGTCAAAGAGTAGAGAGGAATCGGCCATGATCTTACCTCCCTTGTACATTTGAATAAAGCGAGAGGCGGACGGCCGTGCGATACAATTGCATGCTTCACTGGCCACGAACATAGCTGCCAGGGGAGAGTGTTTGCAGTCCCAAAAGCTCAAACTACCGTTTCAATTCCACAAGGACCACCGCCCTTAGCCCCCCCATCGTCCTTCTCCCTTCCGTGCAGCATACCACATACGGAACACCGAGACAGAAAAAAACCACAAGGCGAGAGTTCATCCTCTCCAAATAGACACCTCAACAGCGCGGTGAACCGCGACCAGACGCCATATCGCATTATTCTCCGACGGGTCGCCTCCCTTAACAGGACCCCGGTCTCCTTTAACCCGATCCCCGGTCCACTTCATCCGGACTCCAAACCACCTCGCACGCCTAACCGCCCGCCTCCCCCCTCAGCACGATCCCAGGTCGTCGGCGCGGTGGCGCGAGACCCGGCGGTAGGTCGCGGCGGAGGCCGGCGGGGGCGCCAAGGACGCCGGCGCGCACCTGGGCGCCGCCCGCCGCCGATCGATGGCAACAGCGCCTCATGAACTCTCCGCCGCCGGCCGGCCGCACTTCGTTACCCAGGTGAGACAAAGTGGCCGGAGGAGCCCTCGCGTCAGCTGGCCACACCAATCCCGGGGGGGGGGGGGGGGATGGCACACGCAGCCGGGAAGCACGCCCAGTGGACGGACCACTGCGACGGAGCTCCCGCCCCAGGAGAACACGAGGCGCTCACCGCGCGGGAAGCTCCTCGCCCAGCACGGACATTCTCACCGCTTACCGACACGGCTACATCCCCCACCGCTATTCCTGGTTAGTTCCGCGGCGCTCTGGACGACGCGAGCGACCGAACGGACGGCGGCGGCCGCCGCGCCTGCCCCACGGCCGGCCCGAGAGCCTGTCGACCTACCCGGCTGCTGATGAGCAGACGAAGTGACACGTCCTGCGACCGGTAGCGCTTCGTCGGGTCCATGTTCCCCTCGGTATCCAGGCTTCGCTTCATGCCTGCAACAGAGGGGCGCGGTCAGGGACGGCTCCCGCTGGGCTAGGACCGTCGGCTCGACCGGCCGCCGCCACCGCCGGGCCGGCCGGACGCTCGCGCGTCGAAATCGCTGCCAAAGCGGCAGCACGGCGACGGCCGGGAGAGGGCGCAGATCCGGTCACCGTCGAAGCACCTGTCGCTCGTCCACACTACAGACAGCGACTGACGACCGTCGGCCGGGAGCTAAGCCGAGACCGAACCTCGCCCCACAAAGACAGCCGCAAGAGTCCGGGCCGCGCCAACTGAGGACTCGATCCATATCGCGGCTGGCCGGCGGCCGCCCGACAAGGGCGCTAGCCGTCGCCGCCGGCGGGGCGGCTCGAGGCGGCGCCGCGACGGGCCGGTCGCGCGGCCCGGGCCGGCGGCGGCCGCGCGCGCGGACGTCGCGTGCGCGGGGCACGTACCCCGTGGCCGGGCCCAGACGCCGTCCGCCGACACGTCCCGTCACGGAGGCGGCGAGCGGCGGCACTGGCCGCGGCCGGCCGGCGCCGCCGCCGCGCGCTGACGTCAGTCGCGCGTATAATCGATACACGGGCACGGCCGGCCGACGACTCCGGCGGCGGGGTCGGCCGAGGCGCGCCGAGAGGCCGACGACGACGACGAGAGCGGTCGCCGGCGGCGGCCCCCGCCGGCGACGGCGGACCTACGGCGCACGGCGCTCGGCGCGCGAGCACCAAGCACAAACGCAGACACGGCGCCCGCAGCCCCGGAACAGACAACAACTAAGACTAAAGACACAGAGCTTCTTCCTAACATCCCCGACACGATGTAAATCCCAGAAACACAGACCAACACACCTCTGAACAGCATCAGCAACAGCGGCAGCGACCAAGCGTGAGTCGTGAGACACCCGCGGACGGTGCGGCGTAGCGAGTGCGCGCTGCGCGACGATTGGCCGAAAGCGAGGCCGGCGTACCTGCTGCCGCGCCCGAGGCGGCGACCGGCCGGCTCGGCCGCGGCCACCCCAATAGGCCATCGACGCCGCCGGCCCGGGGCGCCGCCGCTGGCAACAAGTTCACCACACAACGATTCCGATGGACGCCACGACGTGGAACGCTGCCATTGGGCCAGGTGTCGCCCGTTGCCATGTTTGCGTGTCACGCCCGTTGCCATAGTGACCGATAAACAATTCATAAGGCGGCCAGCGTAATCGCGGCGGTTTAAGGCGGCGGCGCGGCATTGAGCGGCGCCGCGGACGCCGCCGTCCCCGGCCGACACACCGCCAGCCATCTCCTGATTGAATCCCAATCGTCGCGACTGCCGGCAAATTGGTGCCGGCGGACGAAATGTCAGCCAGCGCCGCCGGCCGCCCGGCCGGCTGGCCCCATCGAAGCGTCCCGGGGCGACGACGGCAGCGGCGGGCGGAAGCGCGGGCGGGGGCGGACCGCATCCGACTGGCGAGTCGTCTGCGCCACAAAGGAGTCGGTTGCGAACGGAGCCCGGCAGCGGCCGACGCCGGCAGAATTACGGCCCCAGGCGTCGTCGGCCGGGGCGGGCTGAAGTGGCTCGCTACTGGGGATCGCAGCCAGCAACGAGGCACTCGGCACGCGTCGGCGTACGCAAAACCGCCGCTGGAAACATCTCCTCTCTCGAGCGGGGTCGAGAGGAAGCCGACTGCGGGCTGGAGGGACGCACAGTGTCAGGTGACCTGCCGGCGGGTTCCGTGCCTGATCGAAGGACGGCAGACAACAGGTCTCTTGATTGCGTGCGTGAAAAATCCGAAATAACGCCGGTTTGATTGTGCAGATGCATGTAATTTATTTGTTACGAACGCAAGACAAGCGCCCTCCACACCATCATTGGCTTTCACCCACCGTTCCGCGCCCTCCCTCCAACATACCGCATTCATTGCAGACGCAACTTTGAATCATGTGGACCTATTTGAGTGAGTTATGGTCGACTAATCGCCACCAGTGATCAAACATTCTGCAGCCCGCACCGATTACAGATGAGTCCAATTCGGTTCCAGACACAGCAACACTATCACAACTCACCAGCGAATCGCATGGTTGGGCGTGAAGACGAGCGAGGCGATAACAGACGGCATTATAAAGAGCCACACACCTTCGGTTATTGATAACTCGAGCAATCGGGTTTGGTCAATGCCCTGGAAGATCTGCCTCTCATAGGAAGAGGAAGATCAGGGAGATCCGCCGATGTATTGCTCGCGCACAAATCCGCGCATCGATCGCGCACAGAGCCGCAACTGCCATTGCTTCAAAATTGGCGTTGCAGCTGTGGTCAGGCCCCACAATGCCATTCGACGAAGTCACTGGAGTTACTGATTTTCCGCTCCATCAACCGTAGCCAGAGTCCCACGGAAAACGTAAAAATTTTGGTTGGATGTTCACCGCTTGCGAGACCGTTCCGTTCGCATGGTCCGCTCTCGCTGTAGGTTATGGAGCTCCGTACACGACATCAGCCAGCCAGTGCCAGTGCAGTGCATCTTAGAAAAGGTGACACTGGCCGCTCACAGGTGGCTACCGACGTATATATATATATATGGGATCACTAGCGCATGAGCAGCGTCGAGGTTCGTTAGGGCGTGGCACCACGTGCATGCGCATGCGACGTGCGGTCGGCTTCCGGTTCGGTCTGTCATCGCCATGAAGCCTTCGGAACGGCCCGAACCGCGCGAACCTGGTCCGCGCGCGTGCGCCTGCACACATCGCCCGCCACTTTGGCCCATACGGCAGCCCGTTCTCTCCTTCGTCAGAATCTGCCAGTCTCGTGTCGCTGTGGCACCAGGCAGGGGCGCCGAAACGATAACACGGTTGGGGGAGCGGGATGGGAAGCAAACAACAAATGACCTGACAACCCCCTCGACGATTTTCTCTGACCAGATTTCGGCCACTTTATTTCCAAATTTGGCGCAAAGGGCGATTTGCTCTGTTGGAATGTTTATCATCGATGTTAACACGTGCCCTGGTGCGGGTCAAATGGCCCGTGCCAGAACTGGACCTATCTCCTGTCATGTATAACATTTCGTATTCGTTGTAGAGTATTGTTCTTCTCATGCATATGAACACCACATCCGGCCACTTCTCAGTAGAGATAGAGGAATCATACATGCTCAACATACTGCAACATCGATATCCTTATGTTCACGCTGTCCGCCTTCAAGAGCACGACGCCAACCAAAAACAATAATGGTGCTGGAAATGCTGGAAGTGTTTCAGTGCCCATATATGTTTCGAGCTGAGGTCGATCATGAGCCGATAAACATGAAATGGCTGACCAATCATCTACCGCAGCTCGAGGCAGCTCCTGCAGCCACTCCGCGTTATGACCACTGCAGTGACCCCGCGCCACTTTTGCCTCTGCCACTTGGATTCGCCTCCAGTGAACACCACATCCGCTGACCGCTGACCGCCGTGGTGGTCCGTTATGGTCTGAATGATAGGGACCATTGAAATGTCACGAGAAGACAAGTACGCCACAGCATCGTCACCTTTCACTCTTCAGCTGCTTGCATCTTAAGGTCGCGATGGTCAGCCAGCTCAGACCACAGGTCCGCTGACTGATCCACGCCTTGTCAGCAAATTGTGAGCAGTCACGTAAACGCACAGATTTGCTTCGCACGGTCGCGCATTAACTCGCACCGGCTCACGCTGCCATGACACCGAGTTAATAGAGGAGGCGATGGATGGACCATAAAACTGTAGCAACTTAATTCCAGGGGCGGATCTAGGGAACAGAGCAGGGGTCCTTCTCAAAATCAAAATCTGTTTTTTTATCTGTGGCTTGAATGATAGCACAAAAAAAGATAATAGTCAGTCGCTGTGTGTGCCTTGTCTCTTTTGGATCATCGCAGGGTCACTGGAGAGACTGGGGGCTATCTAAAACATTCCCTTTCATATGCCACTTCTAAAAAATGGTAGCAGCTAAATATAAAGTGACTGGAACAATCAGATACATGGGTAAGGGCGGGGTACACGTGAAGTAACTTTGTCGTTGATGCGCACGTAATTAAGCGAATATATCACACAACCCGTACAAACAAGCCGCTTAGCTGAGACCACGTGGAAAATAAGTCGCTTTCGTGTGCAGCGAATCATTATGTTCTGCACTTCCATGTCCGAATGAACAAAATATGAACCAATCCACGCTCATGCATAAGTCGTGACAGGCCCCCTAGGCCACCACTAACCGATACACTAAACGCTGCATATGACAAATACTGGGTGTCCCCAACACAAATTGCGCACTTTGGAAATAGCTGCTTCATCTATTGATTTAAGAGCGTCCGAATTTTCACACGGCACGTTACATGACCTGTTTCCCCTCAGCGCATGTCACGCAGCCTATCGAACGATGTCCCAGCTGGCCGAGTGTCCCACGGCACGCCAGTTATTACGGGTACACGGACAAACCTCGTCAAGCAGAAGCACGTAAGGCAGATGGCCATACGCAAAGGTATGTACTCATATGTTCGCAAGCGCCCACCTCGTAACCGCTGATGTAAGAAGTGCATTGGTTCGTATCGCTGATGTTCATCGGCACAGAGTTCGCACACGCGAATGCACGCACCGCAATTATTCGTATCATATATGTTCAAGACAAATGTCCGGAAGTGCAAATGTTCGTACCACTAATCGTCCGTCGACGCTAATGTACGTAACGTAATAGTTGGAGCCGCAAAGGTTCGTACAGTGGATGTTCGTAGACGCAGCTGTTAAATGCACAGACAGACGGAGACATACCCTCTTAATTTAGCTGCTCAGGTTTCGCCTTTACCAAAGCCGTGCCAGGCCGAGCCAATTTGTACGCAGTCTCAAGCTGCATGACCACATGTAAATCAGCGTTTACAAACATCTGCGTTACGAACATCTGCGCGTGTGAATATAACCGTTTACGAATATTTGCGCGTGCATACCTCAGTGCTTACGAACGTCTGTGTACGTACGGACATTGGCGACACGTAAACCTGCCGGACGTCCATTTGTAATATGATCGTTTGGCG